CTAGAATTAGAGGCTTAATTTAGACACGATTTGATAAATAAAAACAAACAAGTCTTCGAAAAATTTAGTACTTGGCCACTCCAGGACCAGGTTTGCCTTGGAACCTACAGACATTACAGAGAGGTGAGAACAGAGAAGGAGTTTGGTACTTGTCTTCTCCTCCCATCCTCGGCATCGGGACTCCGGTCTTAACCGGACTAACATATCCCGGCCGATATGTTTTCCCCAAAACACCCTCGACGAGATCACTCAAGTTAAAGAATTTAAACTGAGTCTCTAGATGAACAAAAACATCATCTTCAGGCAACTGATAGTTATGAACTCTGTCTTCTTCTTTACCAATGGCTCTAACCTTAATATCCATCTGAACAATCCTAGATACCGTGACTCTCACGTTATTCCTCTCATCTGTTCTCTCAACAACAACTTCCCTTTCCTCGAGATTGATTCGCCACTCGGCTTCACCATCTGTTGGGACTTCAACTTCTTCTCCGTTCCATCTCACAATAAGAGAGTCTACAGAATCGTCCCACGAAGAAACCTTCTTGGCTGCGATTTATTCACATTATCTATCGTAGATTAAGTATGAGAAGCTAATGAGAACCATCAAACACGGATCTACGTTATTGTATACATAACTGGAAAAAAAAAGAAGCACTACCTAGTTATCATTGTGGAGTTGACATTCAATCATATAATATATATATAAAAAATGAGTTGGTAGTTGAAGTCATGTACTCATGTGATATATATGTATCATAATTTAGTTTCTTTGGATCACATGAAACTACATCATAATTTAGTTTCTTTGGATCACATGAAACTATGCCTAGAAAATTGCAACCTTCTTTTTTTGGTACTAACTTATTTAATTATTTATATAAGATTTTTCTTTTGCTATTGGATAATAAACTTTGGCAAAAACCAAAAAGAGTGATATTTAAGCATCTCCAGTTGTTCTTTGAGACCGGACCCCCCAAAAAAAACACTTGCTTTTAAAGTAAAGAACATAACTAAAAAAAATCCCGGATCCAAGAAATTTAATGTCAGATTCAAATACATAAATATACACACAAAACTTAGTTATTTATTTTGTAATAGTTACATAAACGTATAGGTATAGAAAATACAACAAAGGAACAAGAAGAAAAATCAAGGATTTGCTTCTGGCGCAAGAAACATCTTACATTTCTTAAACCCTCAAAATCAGCATCATACAAACGGGCCAAATATTATCTTCTTGGCTCTTATTACATTACTTTTTATGAATATAAAATATTTCCAGAAACAAAAACAGTTACAGAATTAAATTTTCATGAACTTATTTAACATCAAAGAAGTTTCCATCTTTCTTCTTCTGTTTTTGTCCATTAGATATCAGCTGCGAGTGGTTCTTCTTGAGGCTTGAACCTACAGAGTCTGCAAGTCGGCGAAAACAGAGAAGGAGTTTGGTATTTGTCTTCTCCTCCCATCACAGGCATTGGAACTCCGGTCTTGGCCGAGCTAACGTAATCAGGACGGTAGGTTTTCCCCAAAACGCCCTCGACGAACTCAGTTAGGTCTAGGAACTTGAACTGAGTCTCGAGATGGGCAAAAGCGTCATTTTGCGGTAACTGATAGTTGTGAACTCTGTCCTCTTCTTTCCCTATTGGTCTCACTTTGATGTCCATCTGAACAAGACCAGAGACAAGTACTCTTACGCTATTTCTCTCGTCGGTTCTTTCGATGATGATCTCTCTATTTCGTCCGGAAATCGCCTTCCATTCGGATTGTTCGTCTTCAGGAAGTGTGATGAGTTCGTCATCGAATCTGAGGGTAAAAGCGTCATCTTTTTCATCCCATTGACTTACTCTATTGGCTGTGATCACAAGCTTGTGGTTTTCGAACATGACATTGAGGGCTTGAACCCATGTGAAGTCCCTGGTTCTGCCAACGGGCCTTGTACCGATGAAATGAGCGTTGATCTGGAGATTTTCGTCTGAAACGATGGCAAAGTTTCCGCCTTTGGATCCATGGAAGTAGAACATCACACCGTCTCCTCCTACAAATCGAGGGTCGTAGCACAGAGAACCGTAGCCATTGCAGTTTGGTTTCCTCCCTGTCCAAAAGAAGAAAACCCGAATTAAAAGCCAGGTTTCTTGGGTCGAAAGCAAACATATTACTTGTATCACAAGTAATCAATCCATAACTAAAACCCTTTGTAATTGGATTGGAGAAAACGATAGTACTTGTGCGAGAAGCAAGCTGAATCTAAATCAAAGGAGAACAATTGAATAGAGTATACTTACATTTGCAAGTAGCTTCGCATTTGCTAGTGCAGTCAATGAAGCAGCCTTTGGTGTTTCTGTTCGTCATGGGCCTCCTCTTGGGACATTCACCAGGACAAACAAGAGTCCTGTAATAACATGCGCCGCGAGCCTGGCATATCGCCAGCTCTTGTCCTGTACGAAACGGTGTTAGTACTCTGTATCTCGCGGCCGCTTCACTCTGCTCCTTCTCCTTCCTCTCCTTCTCTTTCCTCTCTTTCTCCTTCTTCTCCTTTTCCTTCCTTTCCTTATCTTTCCTTTCCTTCTCCTCCTTTTCCTTTCTCGCTTTCTCCTTCCTTTCCTTTTCTTCCTTTTCCTTCTTGTCTTTCTCCTTCTTGTCTTTCTTCTCCTTGTCCTTTTGACCGTTACCATTACCGTTAGCTTTGCCTTTGTCATCATTTCCTTTACCATTGGCCACTTGTACTTCATTCCCCTTGCCGTTATTACCGTTGCCCTTGCCTCCATTGCTTTCTGCAATGACAATATCGGTCAAGAGAAGCAATGCAAAGAGCGCGACGAGCACATATGACTTTCTGTGCTCCATCTCCCAAGTTCAAG